TCATGAAATATCGATAACGAGAAGTTTTATTTGTTAATATCTTACTTACAATATATGTCAGCTGAGAATCGAGATTTCTAAAAAAAATGATCATTGACATAAAACACTTAAATTTTATCAACGTTGTAGATTTTTTCGAAAAGAAGAAAACATGAATTTTCATCTATTAGAAGTTTATTATAGGGTTAAAAGTGTGAAGATGCATTCGTATCCCAATTATTTTAAAGCTAAATTATTCGATCGTAAGCAAATACTAATTCAGAAATCAAATCACGAAATTTCTTAATCAAGTTATAAGAATAAGCGATACGGAGTTTGAATATAATATTTCAATGTATTTCGCAATAGGAATTCGACGCAGCGTATACATAAATTCATTCGAAGAAAATATCTATAGGCGGTTTTTTCTTTAAAGCGAAACATCGAAAAGATATCAAGAAAAATTTCTACATACTTGTTTTCTTTGATGATTGATTTTGGAAATCATTAAACATACTTTAAATTAATCTTCTTTACGAATTTTTCTTTGTTTTAATACTTTTGATGATTGCGATGATGATGATGATGTTGATGTTGTATCATCTGATTGACTTTCTATATGATGCTCAACACGTTCTTCTTCATTATCATCATCATAGCCTTCAGGAGCAAAATTAGCTAGTTGAGCACGTACAACATCACTATCGGGTTCAATTTTTCCTGACCATAAATCTTCCATTCGAAATGCTTCATATACACAACAACGTGGAAACCATCCACGAGGACGACGACGACGACGATTTTTTGTATCATTATTTTTATTTGTTTCATTAGCAATAATACGTTCACCATATAACCAATATCTTTCCCAACGTGTTACAAGAACATAATCACCTTTTTCAACAGGCATACGAGTTTCATCCGAACAAGGAATACATATACATGTACATATACCATAACGTAATGTTATAAATGCACCTTTATATGATTGAACAACTTCATAACGAACAGTACGTTGACGTTTTTCTTTTTTTTGTTCAATTTGTTCACGTGTTAATGCATATTCATCTGACCCATCACGTATAGGCCATACTAAACCATCGCCAATAACATTGTATGATTCTCTCCAATTAAATACTTGACGAAGATTTTCTTTAAAACCAAGATCATATGGAAAAATAAATGCTTTTGTACGGCGATAATTGCGATCACGTGCTTTACGTAATATCCAACCTTCAATACCTGTTTCATTACGACAAATACTTCGTAATTGAACAATTAATAAAAATCCAACCTAAAGATAAATTTTTTTGTTATAATAATCAATAAAGAACAAAAGAATATGATATATCAACTAACAGCAAATATAACACCAAGTGCAAGACCAATGGAAAGTATACATGATATTAAACCAACAAATGTAAAATAAATAATTGGAACATTTTTTATACGTGCATAAATATAATATTGAGCAAATAGTGCTCTATATATACATGGACAAAGCATTAATAATGCATGTGTACAACCAAGTATAGCATAGAACATAAACCAACAAAAATTTGCATGATTAAAATGACCAGTACATGTATTTATCCATGGACACTAAAACATATATACATATATGAATTTCAGTTGGTTCTTATTTTTAATTAAAAACTCCAGTTTAGGTTTTTATTCAACGCTCCTATTCATTAATGCATCTAATATAATGATTAAAACATATTCTAACAAATGAATGAAACGTGTAATATAGATCTCAATAGACTCTACTAAGACTATTCCATATTACGATGAGAGCATAAATGTTAACCTTCTATTGACTAATACATTTTTGCAAGGAACAGTGAAGCAAAGAAAACGATGAAAAAATTCTTTATATTAAAAAAAAATGTCTTTACTTAACTTTCCTCATTCACTAACAATTGTTTTTTCTAATTCTATTTTTCAAATCGCTAATTTTTTGTTAACACATCTTTCTTCAACAGCCAATGCTGATTCATTATCACATACAAAATAGAATACATATGAATGGATCAAATTTCTTTTGAAACATCAACCATTGACATATGCTGTTATTAGAAATGTAAATGTAAACACATCTTTATATTGAAAAGTTTTGCAAATCGTCAAATATGTCACCAAAGGCTTTTTATGCATCAACTACTGATACTCGAACCATGCATGTTCAATCATGTGCTTGAAGTTTATCTAATGTAATTAGATGAATGCCTCACGACTAAATTAGTTTTAAAGAAAAAAACCTTCAGTCGGCTTTCTTCGGTCCAGTCCAATCCATTGAGACCTCTGGTATGGAAGTTTGCCTCTAAACATTTTACCATTGCAAATCCAAAAATTCTTTCTTCTGCAATAAAATCGTCAAGTCTTTATCTATATCATTAGTCTATTTACTAGAGGAATATCAAAAGAATGGGAAAATGCGCTAGTTACTCTTTTTTTTAAAAACTATTAACTTACATGATGATCAAGTTTCATAACACATCGACCACATTTTTTACAATGATGTGCACGTGGAGCTTTGAAACCTTCACATACATCACCTATATAAAAAATTATTATGAAATATTGAATTGTATTTTTTAATAAAATGAAATCTTACAATATTGTAAATATTTTTCGTGTTCAACGTTTGCTGGTCTCCATCCCGTTGGTACAAATCCTATTATAAATAAATAGAAAATATTACTTCAAAGAAACTCTTTTTTTTCGTGATATACAACAATACATACCAGGACCAACAAAAACAGCACGAAAATAATTGTAAAAAATCACAACAGGCCATATCCAAAAAATAAGAAAATTAATCACACTTAATATATCTGTACTATCTGGCGGAAACCATTGAGTAAGACAATGAAAAGCACTAATAGTTCTACATAAAAAAAAACACGCGCAATTAGATATCACAAATAAAAATTTTTCATACATCCACATTATCAGAGAGATGGCACCAAAAGGACCATAATGTGCCAATTGACTTAGTTTTCCAGAGCTCGTGCCAAAGCACATCTAGAATAAACAGAAGTAAAGATTTTTTTTAATTTGTTTATTTAGTATAAACACAGAAAAAAGGTTGTTACAAACAAGACTTTTTCTTTTTCAGCAGCCATTAGTTTCAATCATTGTCCTCTCTCCATTCTCATTGGACGAATGAGAAAAAAAGCTTGACTGTTGTTTTTTCCTTGAAGTTGATATTTATTATTCTTGAAAGTTAATGTCTCAAGAAGAAGCTAACTCTTTTCCATCTGATTTTTCATATTTATTCTTTCGTAATGGTGCTAGTTTTCGAATAAATTATAATGATGATGAAGAAAAATGTGTAACTCAACCACGTATATCAAGGCTTACTGATTTATGTTGTTCAATAGTTGTACGTAATGAGTCTTTAACTGAGCAAGCATGTGAAACAATACCAAAAGAATTATTTAATCAATTATTTCGTGCAGCATTACATTATACACAAGATGATACATGTATTAATATTCTTATATCACGATGGCCATATAGAGTATTTCGTTTAGAAAATTTTGTTGATGAAAAATTAACATCATTAAAAATGTTATTATGTGAAAAAACAGCATTACAAAGAACTAAACAGGCTATTAAATATTCTGTTATTATAATTCCTCGTTTTATTGATACAATACGACAACAACAACAAATAACACAAAAAAAATTATCAAATATACGAATACTTGATGTAACAAATTTTCCTGTTGTGGAATTGATTATTCGTTATATTGCTACACATTGTCGTTTAGCAGAAAAAGAATCAAGACGTAATCAATTAATTGATATTTATAATCAACAACATCATCAATTATCATCAGATTCTAAAACTAACGATGACAATAAGAATGATTGTGCAGGTAAATTAAAGTTGAATAAAAACTAGAATTTTAATTTCTGATATATGCTTTCAGACAATCATTCAATAAGTGGAAATGACAATAGTGATGATCTTATTAAATCAAGTTCATATCCTGATGATACAATTATAATTCGTTTTGATTGTATAATTCAAGATTATCGTACTTATGTTGAACTTCTATCTGCTCTTCGTTCAACAACTCCCAATATTCAATTACACATATGTACAATTGATATGCGTTGTATTGGTTTAGCACTTGTTAGTAGTTTTCTTGATCATGTTGACAAACGAGTAAGTTTTTCATTGATAAATTTCTTATTTTTATTTTTATTTTTTTTTGTATAACAAATATAAATTCAGTTTGTTCAAACACTTCGTATTCCATATAATGTATTAACACGACAAAATCTAAAATATTTTCTACCACGTTTACCAAGTTTAACACAATTACATACATTAGATTTATCATGTAATTTTATTGATTTTCGTCTTAATCAAGAAGATTTAGATCAATTTTGTAATGTTTTATCACAATTAAAACATTTAAAACATCTTTCATTAAGTGGTTCACCAATAACAAATCGTTTAGAATTTATTCTTAATGCAATTGATCATTCATTAGATGTATTAAATTTAGATTTTTGTTCATTATATGAAAATGATTTAATTAGTTTAAGTGAAATGAGTACACGACATCAATTTTTACATTTAGATTTAGGTACAAATCGTTTAAATCGTTTTATGCGTCAATTATTAATTGTTTTAATAAAACAAACACGTCTTGTTGTATTAGATCTTGATTATAATCGTTTTTCATCAAATGATTATCTTGAATTAATAGCTTGTTGTCAACGATTAACAACATTAAAAAGTTTAAGTTTACGTGGACCAAATTCTTTAACAACACAATTAGCTGCTGCAACATTTATTGGTGAACATTATAAATGTTTACGTTCATGGAAAATTGCATCTCCTATTGAATATTCTTTAAATCGTTTTGTAGGAAATGATGAACAAAATTATTTAATACAAACAATTATGCCATATGATATGTTTATTAGTGAAATGAATAAACGAGCAAAATGTCTTGTTTCAATATCTGAACTTAGTGTATAAACACAAAAATTTTTATTTATTTATTTTTTATTTTCATTTCTTTTTTCTTTAAAAAAAATGATGATGTAGTTATACGATTTAGAATTGTTTTCCAATGTTCAAGTAATTTAAGTTTTTTTTGATTATTATATATGGACATTTGTTCACTGATAAATGTTAAATTTGTATTTATTAATTTTAAAGTAAGATCGTCTGTTGAATTAAAATAAGTTATATGTGGCCATTGATAAAAGTCAGCAAATTTTAACCAATAACGAATTGCTGAATAATCATATTCATTATTTGGATCAGGAATAGTGGAGTTTACATAATAACTTGGTATAGTTGAAGAATTTTTACCTACGCCAGTTAAAGCCTTATCCCATGTTCGGTCAAACACAACATTATATTTTAAATGCCATTCAGTTAAAAGATCAATTGATGGAAAAAACAATGGAATATTCATAGTATATTGTTCAAATATACTCATAAGTGATACTTGATATGGTAAATAGATAATAGCTGGATGACGAACTAAATTTATATAACGATAAAATTTATATAATTGTCGTAAAGGCTTAACAATTATTGATGTATTAAATTTTTCTATTGAAAGTTTTAATTCATTAAGAAATTGTTCATTAAAATTAATATGTTTATGTGTTGGAATAAAAATATATTCACGATTTCTTTTTGTTGGTCGATAGACAACTTTCGTATAACTACATATTGAGGGTAAAACAGTTGCATTGATACCAGTAAAATATCGTATATATTCAGCATCATACAAATTATTTCCAGCAACGACATTTCTAATGAAAAAGCAAACGACATATTTAAATTTGAGATGAGTAAACAAATAGTTCAACTATCCAGACATGAATACAATTAAGACTTACAATATTCACTAACATATTAACTAGCATATACGGAATGAATGAAGTTTTCGATCTTATTCATAATGAGATCTAAGAAAAATGAATGAGTCTATTGGTCAAATTACTTTGACAATTAATGTATTTGTTCTCATATCAAAGTTCTTGAATGTCGACGCACTAGTTTTGGTAACAAATAAGATGATTTTACGAATTCTAATCGACTGATTATCTATTCCACAGACAGCTTGATTCATTACGATGTTTTGGTTAGAAGAAAGCCACAATAGAAGTCATATCTCAAATAATATTCATTATCGACAAGTGAACTTGAAATTTTAAATTTTTACGTTTTTGACTAGTATGTTATTTATAAATTTCTTTTTCATTTTAATAAGATTTCAAAATTTTTTTTCTTTTATCGTTTTTCGGTTCGAATCGTATTTTTTTTTTCAATAGTACTTGGAGAAAAGCGACATGAGAAAAGATAAGAGTAACCTTCACCTGTCTATGTTGCTAGTGTTCGAATTATTATTCCTTGAAAATAATTTATATTTCTACAACTGATACGGTATGTATTTGAGAAAAAGAATATCCTTGAATCTTTCAAATTACATTTGAACCAATCAATAGACAAATAATTACATAGTCACTATATATTTATTGCTTTACTACGTCATGCTAAATATTATAGTCAATCAATAATGATTTATGATTTCAGTCAGAAAAATTTGCTCTTACAAAAGAACAAAAGATTATGAATCATTCTTATCAAATATTCTCTATAGTTTCGAAAACATACTGAGGATCAGAAGCAATAATACGTAAATTCTTGTTCCATTCATTCCATTCGTCAGCTGAAAATCGTCCAAGCTCATAACGTGTTGATGCAATAACAATAATTGTACGATTAAATGGCATAAACAATTCACACATAGCTGCTGGATGGAAACAAATAAATGCATCAACACGATTCATTAATGGATGATTTTTATAATACTCATAAAATTGTTTTCGAATTGCTTTATTTGGATTCATTCCATTATGTGATGTTAATATACGAAGATTTTTTGCACATGTATCTGTTAAACTACATGAACCTGATAGACTTTTATCAATAAAACGAACACCTAATGGTATTAATAATTGTTTAACATCATGTATGGGACTAATTAGAAACAAAACATTATTTTTAGAAATAAAAAGGAGACAAATTGATCATTTTCTTTTACCTTATATGATAATCATTACTCCAGAAAGTAATTTTATCATCATAATCACTCAAATCAATCAAGCTTTCTTCATCATATTTTCGAAAAAGTGTTAAACTAAAACCAATGCTAAAAACAATGACTAAAAAACATAGAGTGATATAATGACGAATTGATAGACGATAAATTGATTTTAACAGTGCCATGCTTTATCGTATACTGTTTGATTAAAGACGATATTTAATACTTAAAAGTGATCTATTCTATCGACAATGATGCTTAGTGTCTTTTTTTTTCTTTCTTGGTTACATATTTTACTATTTGATTACAGAACATATGATGATCAAATATTATCTATAAATGACAAATACATGCATACATACAATTTGGATAAGTATTTTGTGCCCCACATTAGAATAAAAAAAAAGAACACCTTCATTTTAAATGCATATACTTATGGACCAATATTTCAAATCGAATGATGACAGACCACGTGGCTTGGTATTCAATAGGTTGCATCCAACGACATTTATTCATTCATACGAAAGAAAAAAGACAGGTGTGAAAGATAATTACATGACATTAATGTTTAAAATGTATATGGGTAATAGGAGCCTTGATGGTTCAATGATATTGATAACAATGAGAAAAGATATGGTACATGTTTATCATATAGGATTTGACTATCTTATCTGAACAGAGAATAATCCCACGTCACGCATACTTCGTAATTCAGTGATTTTGCTTCAGGCAGGGTTTTTCATACCAACTACATTCTGAAATGAATCAAAACATGTACCGAAAGTTAGGGTATACTTTATGCTTAAAAAATTTAATTTCTTTTGTCAATATCTACGATGACAAGAAGAGATATCATATTCTAATGAACGAAATTGTTTCAGTTAGAATAGTAGAAACTAATAATACAGTTTGGTCAACAGTTATGGAATTTCATTTATTTTACATTGTAACATCTATTTATAGTGCATGGCAACATTAAATTATTTGAAACTTTCATTATAGATAGAAACCATGTAGATTTAACTACCAATTAAGATTTCATTGATTTTCCTTTAGCTCGAGTTCAGGTTTTCAAAACTACTAGCCAGGATAGAATTTGAAGACATAGAATACTTTTTTAGCGAAGCTAAGAGGTTAGCATTCTACTACGAAACGAAGCGGCACACAAATAAACTCCGTATAGAAAAATTGTATAGTTTTTAACTTACATAATCGCATCAAGTAATAAACTAAAAATAGTAGTTTTCAGATAATGGCATGCTTTCCCCAAAAATCTCAGTTTAGATTAGAATGAAAGAAAAACAGTTAAAAGCAAGCAGATATTCATCAACAGCATCCAGTTCAGCATCAAACAGTGTATTTTTCACTTGGATCTAACGAAAGAAGTTTCTTGATCTTTTCGGCGCGAAACAAATAAAGGTTGAATGTTTCAATGACTAAATAGCGCATTTTGTTCAGAACTCGACGCTAATTCCAAATATGTGTCTAATTATGAACAAAAATGAATGCAAAATTCGGATAATGAGAGAATTCCGTCAGAAAATATTGCTGGAAAATAGATATAGATATTAAATCAAAATGTACGTGTTCTGTGAAACTTATTCAGTTCTATCTGAACACATCATTTTTGTTGCGAATATTAACATTATAAGCGAATTACATACACTATAGGTAAGTTTCGTTACAGAGTTTATATCAAAAATAGATATGATTTTAGAATGCATTATCTTAAGATGTAGACATATAACATTTGTATGAAGATCATATGCTGAAAGAGTTGCTTGTATTCGATGAAGAATCGTTTTCTGCTGACCAATCTTTGTTTGAAGATGTATTCCATTAACATCTTTTACACAAATTTTCGAGTTGGCCATTCTAAGAAAGGTTTCGTACCTCCAGAGTATTCAATTTCGCTCAAAAATAGAAACGGTTCCATTTAAGCACTATCAATCGTTCTTTTTTATATATACAAAAGGTTTGACTTTTTGTAACTAAATAACTCAAAAATTCGAGTGCTTCCTATAGTTACTGACGTTTTCTAGTTAATTTTTAAAAATTCTAAAATGTTGAAAAGAGAAAACCTATATTTGATATAATTTATGAAACATTAAAAGTTAGATATTTCCTAGAATTATTGTTTGCTGATGTTAGCAATACCAAGAAATTTTTTTTTGAAAAATGTTCATATAATCGAAGGACAAAAAAGTCGTTGACCTTAAATCATGCTGAATCTATCCAGAAACATGTGCCCAATAATACATCACATCATCCTCAAGTATTGATCCCTTGTACTATTATTGCTTTACTCTTGTCCAAATCGATATCAATCCACTGTAAAAAAAAAAAAAAAAGTAAACCCTCACATATCTATTTATTACCATTGTCCGAAAGTTTTTTAAGATTATGCATGTAATTTACTCTTTTCATTCATAAATATAGTTTTCGCTTGATTCTGGTTAGAAAGGAGAATATCAGGCAAAGCTACAGATAAAGCATTTATATATCAGTTTTTCCTCGGAAAAGTCTACTCTCAGCTGAAACTTTTAAAACTTTCATTAACAATCATGAACACATTTTCATTCGTCGCCGGTTTTTGTGTTATTAAATTTGTAGTGAAACTTCAAATCAATAGAAACAAATATGTTTTTTACTGCGTACAAAATCTGTTTACGTCAATAGTTTTACAAGGAATATTCTTTCTAATATGCGTCTGATATTATGTTTGTCACTCATGATCAATCTTGTCAATATATTTTTTGTTATTGCAAGCTTTTATTTGTTCTAGTTTCATAGAAAAATGTTTTACAGTAACATCTAAATTGTTTTTCCGCAAGATCTGATTTTCAGTATATCTAATTTTATAGTTGTTTGTAGGACTTTTGATGAGAGGCTATTCCGTAGTTTTTTCTTTATTCGTTGTATTGAACTAAAACTTCATTCATGTTTATTAGATCCAATAGATCAATTTGTTAAAATTTGATAGAATTCAAACCATTCTGGCATTTGTTATTAGTGTCAATTATATGAATTCTAAATATATTGACCGTCAAACCAAAGTTTTTGATATTTGTCGAATTTTCTGTCTTCTCAATAAATTAGTCTTCAAAGTATGATCTAATTCAATTTCTCTTGGATAGACAATAAATGGTTCTATTGAAAAAAAAATCTGGAAATCGAACTTCGCTTTTATGTAGTCAATCTGTCTCATCGAAAGATTAAAAATGTTGCTTATCTGTAACAGAAAATTTCCAAGAACCATGGCAAAAAGCAAGAAAAAATTAGAAAGATGGAATTATCTTGTTTCCGTCTCTGAATTGTATGACCTGTTCATAAACCCTGGCAAGGACTTGTGAGCCGTTGCTAACTCATATACTGTTCTATGAATTTCTGTATGCGTAAACACTTTTTAAGTATATGAACGCAATAAAACCTTAGATAAAGAATTTGTCATTGCATGTTTTAAACACAACTATAGAATACTAAACTTTTCGCTTCAGAGTTTATGTCATTCATAAAACTAAAAAAAAAAAAGAGTTTCAATCAATGGTAATTTAACCGATATTGACGTTTATTATTCTATGATTATTTTTAAGTGTTATCAAATGTTATATCTAACTGAAAAATGAAAATAACAAATAAAATTGATTTTTAGACCATTCCTTTTCACTATTATGATGGAGAAAACAGATGAATATCGAAGCAGACAAGAATTTCTGAAAACTGGTTTAAACGTCCTAGTCGTGGTTCCTATTGGAGTGTTTCCATGTCTGTTCAAAAAATAACAAAATTAGCTACTTTTATTAGAGAAGGTGGATGAAGATCAGTGGTGAAGCCAGGATTTAGAGCTAGATGGGCTCAATTAGCTCTATAGAGATTTTTGAAAAATGTCCTTTTTTAAATAGAAAAATATATTAGTTTTTGGAATGAAAGATTTTAATACATATCTCACTTTGTGTAACTCATATGTGTGCTCGAAGAAAAGAAACTACAATAAATAGCTATAAGTTTCAATCAGGTTTATTACAAAGACTAATATATATATTTTTGTATCAGAAACATGTATATCTTTCAAAAATCTTGTCAGGGAGCTCAAAGAAAACTTAATCAATAGTGCTTCTCTTCCTAGCTTTTGCCACTAATGAAGACTCTTAAGAAAGGCAACTTTTGCAGACGAAAAACGTCATTTTTATCTCCAAAATACATCAAAATCTTGTGAAAAAAAAATTTACACGTTTTCCAGATGTACAATTTGCCTTTTTAAGTGTCTTAATACACCATTTATAATGACGTTAGCTAATTTTTGAGTTGTTTGAATGAAAGTTATAAAAAAAAAACACTCGAACAAAAATTACGATTAAATCATTTCAACAAATTCTCAAAAATCTTTGTTATATTGAATCGCTATAATTGTATACTGAAGAATCTCTTTTTTTTTCTTATTTCATCATATGTTTATTTATAAATGAAAAAACAATCAAACTTCGTTTTGTTGCAAATTAATTGTTATAACTCAGCCACATTCACATATATATGTATAGAGAGAGATATAAACACATCACAATATGCCCGCATACTTCTAATCTCAAGAATAATTATGACAGATAGATAGCCATCACATAAACACATACAGTTACTTATCATATCAATAGACAGAAGAAAAAAAAGATGAATGAATATACGATATCAATATATATATGTATTGATCTATGAATAAGAAGAAAATCGCTTTTTTTTTATTTAGTAAAGATGTAATTACAATATATGCTGTTCTAAATAATATGAGAAAGAAAAAACAAAGCCCTCATCTGACCTAAAGACTCACAAAAATGAAAACTATTAAATTGTTTTTTTTTTCTTTTTTTTGTTTTCATGCCATAATCAACTATTGTATGATGATGATGATGATGATGGTGAATGAATATCACGTTGTGTATACATTGGATAAAATGTTTGTCGTGCATATGGACTCATTCGTGTTGGATGATAATTTGATGATGTTTCTCTTCGATAACTTAAATCAGACAATTGTGAATAAACAAAAGCATCAGCAGCATAATTTGCTAAATCTTGATTAACTAATGAATAAGTTGTTGGTGAAATAAAATTAACTGTTGAATCTTGTGGATCAGATATAAAACAAGAAGAATTTTCAACAATTCTATTAAATGTATTAGTTTGTATATTAGGTGATTTTCGTTGTGAACGAAGTAAACGTTGATTAGAATTCAATTGTTTTATTACATCGATCATACTAAAAACAAATAAGATTATTTTGTATTCAAAAAAAACAGAAAAGAAATTTATTTTTCTATACCCATCTTCTGATTCACAATCACGAAAACCTTTAGCAAATGGATTTGAAGCAATTTTTAATTGTGTTATTCGATGATTTTGATATGCTGTAACACTAATAAACGTTGTTTCAGGAAATGTAAATGTTCGAAATGTTTGTGTTTGTTGTAAAATTAATTCATCAGTTTTTATTGATGGTGAATAAACACAATGAATTCGAGGTTGATAACGATGCATTGAATTAAGTATAATCTTTATATAAATAAAAACAAAACAGGAATTTAGTTTAAAAAAAAAAAGAAAAGAAAAGAATTTTGTTCTTCTTACATGTCCATTTTCATCAAGTAAATTATTTGTTAATTTAAGTTTATCAAATGAAATAATATTTTTCATCCAATTTGAACCTGTTTGTGGTGAATCAGGATGAACATGAAAACGACCTGGACCATGTGGATCAGCTTTACCAGCAACAACCCAACTTGAACTAAATAAAGATCTTGCTTATTCTTTTTTTTTTCTCTAGAAAAAAAAAGATAATTTTACCTATAAAATGCATATCGATAACGTTTATCATCTAATGGTATAAAATCAACCATCAGTAAATAAGTAGCTGTTGGATCCATACCAGAGATTTTTACTTGTAATATTGGAAACATTCGTCTTTAAAGAAAAGAAACAAAAATAAAATGATGGATAATCTACATTCAATAAGCATATGTTTTGGACGTTTCTCAAGAGAGTTAAATTCGATTGAATCATTAGTATCAATCTTATCTATTGTTTTTTTATTTTGAATATCTCAATCATACTAATGATAATTATAACGTAAAGTTAATTACATTTTATGAACAAACAATCAATTGTTTTAAGAAGATTTTTGTTTTTTAGTTTGGCCTCTGTTTCATTGCCACTTTTTATTCAATAGTGCTTTATGAAAAAAAATGACAACAAATGCAACTTTGTATTAGAGAAAGTTATTATAATCATAGAAATATAAATATAATTCGATGGTTTATAAGATTGTAACAATAAAATATTCTTCTACTGACAAATAACTTTTTTGATATGTTTTGATTAAATCGAGAATTTGTTAATTCTAATGAATAAAATTTTTTATTTCGTGATGACTTATTCATATTGTTGTCAAGTTATCTCATCATATATATGTCGAATACATTCAAGTTGGAATGAGATATTAGAGTTCGTCGAGTAAAAGATTTTCGTACTCGAATCCAACGAGCTCTATTGAAAGCAGCAATATTCATACGAAATCGACAGTGTCAACTCTTTGATCCAGATCTGTTTTGAAAACAGAGAAGTCCCATACTTACATTGACGCCCTAGAAAATGTTTTTTTTATCTGTCTATGGATTGTAACATGCTTGCTTTAAAAGTGATTCAATAGTGTCTTTACTATTTCGTTTTCTTTTCAAGGCATGATTTCTTAAGTGGAACTCTGAAATTATAACGATGAAACGGGAAGATATTAATGTTTTTTTTTACCTTCCTGATCGGGTAACAATCATTTCAGTTCCAAGTTTATCAAATTCATCCCATAATGATTTTGATTCGAGAACCATTTTAATATTAGCTAATTTTGGATGAAGTGTTTTTTTGATTTCATTTGTTCCATTTGAAATATTTTCATGATCAGATTTATTTATATTTGTTGTTGATTTAATATTTTCTGTTGCTCGTTGAATATAATCTAAGAAATAGAAAAGATATGTTGATCATTTTTTATTCTTGCTTTTTCTTTTTCTTTTTTACTAAGGATAACTAACCTTCCATATGTTGTGTTGTTGATAAATGTATTTGAAGATTTTTTCTTTGTTTGTAATTTGTTGATCGATTTTTATTTTTTTTTCCTATTTGTTGTTGATATTGTCCGTTATTTGTTTCTGTTAATTTAGCTGAATGAAAATGATGAAAATCTTGTTGAATAGAATCGTTTGTAATTTGATCAATTGAACAATTATTAGTATTATGATAAAAATTTGTTGGAATTGAATTCGTTAGAGAATGATATAAACTATTCTCATCATCGCAACCATCTGATGTAATCAATGAAGCAATACTGAAACTACTAGCACGTGATGTTAGCAGATTGTTATCCATAGAAGAAAATTATTATTGAGTAAAAGCAAAAAAAAAGAGAGAGAAAGAGAAAGAGAGAAATGATAAGGTGATATCATTTGTTCGGTTCGTCCGTAGGCAAAAATATGTATATAAGAAAAAGACGATTGGTACATGATAGGAGCCAGTCGATTTTCTTTTATTTGCTTGCTCTTCCTACTATCATCAACAATGACGACTTATCAACGTCGTCGTTCGATGAATTGTTTATCTCATATTTGACTTGCTTGCGGAAATACACACATTCTCATACATATACGATGACTTGACAATCGTTATCATTCGTTCTCTTGTAAAAAGAAAAAGGAGTATCAACATCGAGTCTGCGCTTAGTATTATTCTCTCTGTCTCTCTGTCTCTCTTTCTTTTTTCATGTTTTCTACCAATCAAATAGAAGAATCATATCACAAATCTAATTATATTTGATTCTTTGAAATTACTACAAAGGCTAACACAAAAAAAAAGAATTTCTAGCCTGAACTCAATTGAACGTTACAAAAACATTTTGATGTATATATATATATATATACATATATTTCATTATAAAGGAGAAGTGATAAAAAATGATGGGCTGGCTTTTTCTCGATTCTTTCATATCTAAACTCAAGAATGTGTTGACATTTGCCTAGTTGATGAAGATGTACGAGTTCGACGAATCAATTAACTCAAACGTTAGATTGATAGCATATAAAAACAAAAAAGAAACTTTCTCAGTCTTGTAAATAATTTTCCATGGTTATTACTTAACAGTACATTGTACTATACATATATATATATATATATATGCGTAATATACATGTCTCTATTATATATGAGACTCAAATTCAATTAGAAGATGATTCGATTTAACAGTCTTACTCGATACTAATGATACTTACGATTGATGATAGGATATAAATAGAAGAAGTTTTATAAATCAAGATAAATGAGAATTTGATGAAGAAATTAAAAAAAAGAAGAAAGAGTTACAAAAGAAATAAGTGAGATAAGAAAATTTTAAGGGAAAGACAAGAAGAAAAAAGATATAAAAGAAAAAGAAAGGAAAATTAACTTGTGCTTATCTTCATATCAGTATCAGACTCCTGTCACCAAATATGCATATGCCGATAGACATATCCATACTTTGTCTATTTTGTTATGCTTGTTGATACAAGGATGCGATCATAGAAGAAAAGAAATGTTGAAAGAAAAAAATGACAATATTTATGCCTAAATTTTGTAATACATTACTCAAGCATTTGAGAAAGATTTACTTGACAATGTCAGATCGACTTCTCAATAATAATCTATACTTATTCAACTTACAATATAAAAAACAAGAAAAATGAATATGAATAAAAAAAATTAATCATTTTCTCATTCTCTATTGAGATGAATCTAAATTTGTTCGAACAAAATTTAACTAAACATTTTCAGTGTTGAGAAAGAAAAAAAACATGAAATCTGTATTTTAAATTTTAGATTCTCAGTGTGAAATTTATTTTCTGATGATTGATTAAAATATATAGTTAGAGCTTCTAACGAAAAATTGCTTCGGTCGAATATTCAAATTTTATATCGATATATTACTATTAATGTATGATTTGTTTAGACCTCTATATAGAGAAGTTCATCAACTAATGACACTCTTTTAAGAAATGCGTCTATTTCGTAGTTACAAATGAGCTAGAACCTTTAGCTTATTGCTGCTGAGATCAGAGTCTTCAATGATGGAGAGAGCTTTCCCTCTCCAAAATGTCTACTGTCTGCTAATTTTTTTCAGCTTTGTAGTAGCTTTAGATAGAAACTGGGTTTTGACACAGTATTTATTTTTTCTTTGACAGAAGATGAAATAAAAACAAGCAGATAATCTTGTTGTGAGATGAATATTCGGCCTTTCTGCTGACGTTTTGATCAGCTCTATTTCTAAAAGAAATAATGACAACTCTGACCTGGATAATGCACTATTACGAAAGGTTTTTAAAGAATGTCGTAGTTTCTTTCAACAACATCAGAAAAACTGATTTTCGAATTTTGACTTGAAATTTTGTATAAAGACAGTCCTTAACTAGAATAGTTTCTTGTGAATGTTTCAACTCTTGCCGTTACTCTTGTTTCATACAGCTATAGTTAAATATTCCTGTTTTAGGATAGAAGCAAATTAAAGGACTTCAAACTTTCATAATAAATTACTCTTGTTAAGGTTCGTCGCTATAAAAAGTTTTAAGTCGAAATTTAAAAATTAGTTTTCCTAGTGTAGAACTGTTTTTAGGATGTTCAATGCTCATTAGAGTCTACATGATGCACATAGTACTGATTCAAAAGCAATAAATCAGTTGCCAGATTTCCTTCGTAAGATGAAAAATTCAATTCTTTTTCATATCATTTGAAGAAATATAAATCAACAGAGAAAAACATTCAGTTTGAATAATTGTCTTTATCATATCTAAATAATAATGGAATCATTGAATTCTAATAACAATTTCCAATTATATGAAAAATGAAAATGAAGTTACTAGAAACGATGTTGAGAAGAAGAAGAAAAAATATATTACAATTGTTTTTGGACGATAAGACTGATATTTGAAGGTATACTTTGTAAAGCTAAAGCAGTGAAGTTTAATTCAATTTTTCGTGTTAGACGATATAATTTTCTTTCTAATAGCTAAATTTTATAACATACTTAAATTTAATGAGTACCATGAGCAATGCTCTAGAATATCAACTAATACAAATGATTGAATAGAATATTTTTAATCAATATTTTAGCTAGTAGTGAAACTGTAATTAAGTGAAAATTCATTACTTTTATTTTATTTTTTCTAAATGTGAGCATTTACCTATTTGCAAGTTATTTTTTGATGACATGTATTTACGTAAAATATATTTCATATCTATCGTTTATCTTTGATTCATTTTATGTCCGTATCTTTTTTTTTATTGATGTTATCGTATTGTGTAAAATAGAGTATTGATGAATGGTTTATATGGTAGCAAAATCACACAACATGTATCGTTAAATTAAACTCAATATTTTCTATAATTATCATTCCTTCAAAATCGATTAATTTCAATAAATATAAATTAAAACAACTTTATTTCATTGTCGTCATCTTTAAATATGAAGTTGTTTTTATAATTCGATTAAACATTGTAACACACTTTGGATTTATGTATTTGTAAATAAGACAAATCTTTTTATTCTCTTCATTATCTACAATATTGTACAAAATATAAATGATGCTTTTCCCCTGAAACTGTACTAAAGCACAGTTGATTTAATTAGAAATATGTAAAAGAGTAAACTTTCTGTTCATAACATTTATTGAAATATAAAGCTGTTATTAAGAAAAAAAACAGTATTGACAGCGCAGAACTGTTCTTTTTTTTGACATCAGGTTTACTAGTTAAATTGTGGATTTCGATGATTAGAATAACCATATGGTGATACACGTTCTTCATAATGAAGATGAGGTCCTGTAGATCTTCCTGTATTTCCACTTTTACCTATTTGTTGTCCAGCTTTAACTTTGGCACCAGTTTTCACTGATTTTTGACTTAAATGTGCATATAAATGTCGAATTATCTTACCACTAGGCCCTTTAGATTCAATTATAATGTGAGTTCCATAAGCTGATCCCCAATTTCCAGCTTTAACAACTCCAGCTCTTGTTGCAACTACTTTTGTTCCAATAGGACATGCATAATCATCTCCTGTATGATAACCAGCTGCCCAACTACCTTTTCTACCAAATGGTGTTGTTATTTTTTTGCCGGGAACTGGTGATACACCATTTGCTTGATTAGTAATACAATGAAGAAAAATAGCGAGAATAAATAAACCAGATAGTGTATATGTATTAGTCATGATTTTGCACTTTTTTAACTAGTCTGTAAAAATACTGTGCATGTGCATATACATATATATATATATACAGAGAGAACACGTGCCACTGATAACACCGAAATCAAATTATTGATAGTGATAAACTTATTGCATTGGTATTTGCAACGTAATTAAAAATAGCTTTAGACATTCATAAGCCTCAAAGTGGTGTAATGTATCATACAGAAATATGCTGAAAAACAAATTTAAGAAAAACAAAGTTTGCAGCTGTCACAAGTAGTCTTAATAACAAGATATAATCAATATAAATCAGTCGATGTTAGATTTATGACTATTCCATATTAGTTTTTATCTTGATTTGAACAGTCACAGGTTTAGTCAATGTCGAAGACGATTATACTCATAAATCAAATCAACTAGCAAAAAAATAACAACATTTTCACAAGAACGACGAAAATTGCGCAATAATCCTTTTCATTTTCATCATATGTCTTGTTTCAACCAGTACATTAATAGGGTTTCTAGAATAATACGTAAGAAAGAAACTATTAGTGTAACCCAAGCAAAAATTAATTCTGAACAAATTTCTGTTTTTTATCGTTCGTGTGCATCAGAGAAGAAAAATCTTACTGATATTTTTGAAAATTCAATAAAAATCTGTTTATTTTCAAAGCTCATGAGAAACGAATAACTTCTTGTTAAAATTTGAAGATTAAAAAAAAACATGGTTTTTTTTTTCAAACATTCTATACTTAATAACAAGATTTAACCATTTTAACTTCCAATAGAGATACAACTTCAATATTAATTCTCATCAAAACAAAAGTCGAAAAATTTTAAATTTCTATTTTTATATGCGTAGTATACTTTGTGCTAGTGTTTCATTATAAGTAAAACCAATTTTAATTACAATACAATGATTTTCAATATCATAAATTGATACTTTTTGCCTGTTTTTTTTTGGAGAAAGCCTAAGGGTAAAGTATATGAAATACTACACATTAAGGATTATGAGTATATGAAAATATTTTCAACTATAGGAGTCCAATCGATGTACGATGAGTTAAATCATCATAAACGTTTTTTTTTCAATTTTATAAAGAACAAGTAGGTACTCGATCGATTATTTTTTGCACTCGTATTATTTTACTAACCTTTTACTTGGATTATTTGGTTTTTGAAAATTGATATAAGTAGTTACATACAGATGGAATTGAAACTTTTCTAGAATATTCTCATTCGTGATGGTAAAAAAAAAGTGTCTTTTCTTTAGTATTTAAATTTAATTGGTGATTGTTTTACAAAACATTATTTATTCAAAACATACTGATGCATGTAATTATTATGTCAGATGGTTGACCCTTTTTCTTTGCTTCTTTCAATTTATTAATATTTTATTTAATGAATTCAAGTGGAATTTTTTCACTCAATTTCACTTATTGTCTTAATAAGAAAACATTTGCCATTGACGTCTGATAATTATCATTACTGAAAAAAACGAATATTGGTTGCATGACATTTTACTAATAAGTATGTCAAAAACAAGTTTTTGTTTAAGTTTAGAAAAATCTTATTGATAAATAATTAGATATTTCACTTGTGTTTTAAATAAGTATAATATTAAGCTTAATCCTTCTTCTTTTTTTTTTGAAAAACTTTCGTTAAAAATATTATAAATATCAAATAAAAATTTCATTCCCTATATCTCTGTATTTTCTTTTGTTCATACCCACGAGCAACAAATTTTTCACTCAATTATTAAAAAACCAGTTACATTTATTAGAAAAACAAGACCAAAGAACGATAAAACATCTCGACTAAAAAAATTAAGTTAAATCTCACTCATATATATCACAAAGTGTCGCTTGTTTACAGAATCGCGTAGAAAAATGATGTGCTATGGACATAAAACGTACACACAACAAAAAAAAAGAATGATCATAGTCGATTCGGATGGACCAACATTTGTCCATTTCTTTTTTTTTTTGGAACTAGTAAGAAAAAAACAACTGAATAAAAATGAACTAAAGAATAAGTTTGATTATCTAATAATATTTGTTTCTTATACGTCTGTATTTAATCAAGAGAACAATAACGGAAACAGTTATTTAACCTGTATTTTGTTCTCGCGGAACTCTGAGACCAACACCAAATGCAAGTATTGTAAGAGCTGTCCAGAGAAAGTAATGGGCAGCAACACATAAATTATATGAATATCCCACAGTTGTATGAGTCATGTTTGTTGCTGGAGCAGGAAAAAGATACGACGCTTCATCACGTGAATAAACGCCCCATGTTGCATACGCAGACATAACAAACATAGATGAAAAGTATAAGAGACCTAATGCTGCATATAATGCATAAAGACCTCTTGATGAACTCAAAAATATGCCAGCGATGGCTGCAATTATCGAAAAGACAAGTAATAAGAGACCAAAAATAGATAGACCAGCTTGAGGAGCTCGATTATCATTATAGCAACCTGGACTAATCGTTCCTGATACACTATCTCCATAACATGTACGAAAAAGGCCAATTGTATTTCCTGATCCACCATCAAGCCATACAGGTGTGCCTACACTAATAATTAGAAGTAATAAAGCAAATGCACCAATGCCACTTGCAGCAGCAATTGAAAGTGTAAACGAACTTGGCATTGAAATTCAATGATAAATACGGTGGTTATGTGAAAGTAATAGTAACGGTTACAAGTCTATAATAAACGAAAAGAGAAATAATATATTAATATGATTGTGACCATTGTATGTTATTTTTGTGTGTATTTTTGTGAAGATTATTTTCATTACACTAATTATTTTTAATTGAAAGTTAATCATAAAAGAAAGAAAACAATACGCAGAACCAGAAGAAAATTGCTTTGCTTTCGATCAAAATGGATTTATAGTTAACAATGTCACTAATTAAGTCACAACATAAATTTAAGTTTTTTTTCTTTTTCTTCTCTCTTTTTCACTGAAGGCAACAAACGTCGATTTATTCTCTCATTCTTCAATTCTTGCATGAAATTGTCGATGCAAGTTGACAATGATGGTGGTCGCTAATATGAAGCAGTTTCACAACTGCTACTCAAAAGCGAACACAAGCATCCACTCACGTTGCATCGTTCTTTTTCCTTTCTCTTTATTATTTATTCTATTCTACTGCTCCTGCTACTTCTTGTGGACTTGTTAAAAAATCGATGCAACAAAAACGTAATAAAACTTTTCAACTATCAGAGGCAACATAAGAAAGATTATAGTGTATACCTGATGGTAGTCTTATGCAATAACTTATAAAGATACTTCTCTCTAAAACACTGACTTTTTCAAATAGCAAAACAATATAAATAAAGAAGTTAAATAGTTGACGAATAATCGATGTATTGTTGTAATATTACTAAAAATCACACTATTTTTTTTACAAATAACATCGTATACTTTTAGACACAGTCAAGCAAACGAAAGAGAGAGACACCATCGAAAAAAAAGAAATAATGGAAGAACCTATTTAAAAAAAAAACCATATCTACCATAATATGTAAAAATAACAAATGAGATGTAATAGCTTTGTTTGTGAATGAGCAAAAAGAAAACAGTATATATTTACTGAAATCGAATTATCTAACCCCAATCGAACTTACAACATGTGAACTGTGATTATGTATCTTTGCTATTGGGGGTGACACTCAGTTATGCAATCATCTAAATTATACTTGTCTCTAAATATATATATACAACCTTGAGCTTCAGGAAAACAATCATGTCCAAACAGAGACATTGACAGAAAAAAAGTAAATACTCTTGAAAATCAAGAGAGAATATGAATCACAGTGGAAAAAAATTCAACATTGTTTGTTTTATATCTCGATTTTTTTTGTAAATGTTTGTTTTCAATTTTTCTTATAGGCACAAAGAAACAAGAGAAAAGAAAGAGAGAAAGAAAGACTAAAAAATAAATTATAAGAAGTATTGTTTTATTGAAATCTACATATGAAATACACTAACGAAATATTGATTTTTCTTGTGGAAGACAAACTTAAAAAAAAAAGGAAGAGATCATACACATCAAGAATATGTTGATAACGTCTTCAATGGTTGACACATGAACAGTATATATGTAGTTATTTAACAAAATAATGAAGAAGAAATGATGATACATAAGGACAAAAATCTTATTCGAAGTATTATCTTCTTTGTTTTACTACCTGTTCGTTGTGGCCTGTCTTTCTCATTCCTTTAACTGTTGTCTACTTACTATCGACTACGAATGTTTTGCTTTAAGTAAATCTCCGAAAAAATTAGAAAGAAGAAAGAAAGAACATAAAAAGAAATTACAAGGAAGAATTGTGGTTGTCGTCGTTACACTATGGCAAGTCATGTATTTGAAGGAAAAAAAGAAAAAAAAAAAAAAGAAAAATGAGTCAACTTTTCAATGTCTTTTTCACCAAAAAGAAGGAAGACTGACGTTTTGTTACGAAAGAAAGTCCACTTTAAAAAGAATAATGTAGTCAAGTTCAATAGATTACTGTTAGATCAATACTATAAACTAATAGAACAAAAGGAGAAATAAAAGAATTGCGGTATTAAAAAATAACAACATTAAGTTATGTAAGAAAACGAATTTTTCTTTGTATATAAAAAAATTTATGCAATCGATGAAAGAAAAAGTAACTATCATTTGTGATCTATTGAGTGCCAATGGTTCATTACTGCCCATTGCAAACAATTGAATTCAACAAAAGACAACAAAACATGTGCTTAACGATGATTTGCTACATAATCTAAAAACTTTTGAGAAAATGAACTAAAGAACTGCGGTAAAATTTAACAACTCTTACATTTCATACTGTAAAAGTAATAAAAAAAAAGAAAAGAACATTGCAAACTTTCGATTTTAAACATCGATAACTGTCAAGCAAATAATTCACTGTTTCATGAACGTTTTTTTTCTATAATTTTGCTTCCCATTGCTTTTTATTTATTTATTTTAACATAAACACTTATATTAATCTGGTTTGCTAGAACTTACAACCATCGCCAAAGAATATACAAAAAACGGTACATGGATTACTTGTTTTTTTTTTAATTTGTTTTGTTAAAATACTTCAATGGTATTTTTTGTACCGTTGATTGCTTATCCAAACGTTTCTTATGTAAACATTAATACTGTAATTATGCCTCTTCCCCACTGGCGTTCAAAAATACGCCTTTTAAAATTGCTAAAAGTAATTGTATAACGGTTTTGATAGATATGTTCATATTATTCTAGAGTTATATACAATAATATTAACATTTTTTTGATGCTCATTCATTCTAGTTTTCTTGACTCGAGTTCTTTTACCAATATGGGTTGAATCACAATTTTGACATTGAATTTCATAAATGGTTTTGTAGTTGTCAATACGACTGAAATCTTCGTAATTTTGTAAGACTTAAAAAAAGAATACTTTCTAATTAATTCGTTTTTCGGACTGTCATATTTATCTTAATATTGCAAATTAATTTGTCGACTTTTTAAAATATGTTCGGCTTACAGTAATGTTTCGTTTCCATAATAATTCATTATACAAAAAATGTTTTTCTTAGTCAAATTATTGCTTTGCTTTTGTTGATTTACTTGTCTGATTAAAAGTTCTTCGTCTTTAACACCTTTTCTTCAAGAATGTGAATGAATGCATGTGTCAGTCTGCACAATTTCTCATTCTGTAAGAGCTATACCAACGCCTCAATTAGTCGTACCTATCTCTGAGTCACTAAAGAAATTACGTAAAGACTTCTATTTCACTACTATAGTACTTTTTTTGATACATGATTGTCAATAAGTGTTGAAGTATATAGAGGCAAAATTGATCTTATCCTCTCCAGCTAGTTCTAAAGACCACGACCAACATGCCGAAGCTTCCTTACTCCACTGACAAAATGTTAAAGAGATTTCGATATGTGTGTAGCGGCCCAGCGAGTTTTCTAACATGCTGATGTTTGGTCTCGTCCTAGTATGTAATATAGACAGTGACATTCTGTAACAAGAAAAAAAGCGAAAATCCTACACTCCATCGTCCTTCAAAGGTATGCTAATGCTGTCTTTTATGATCGCGAACTTATTAGTTTGAGTTCATTTTATATAAGTCTCTTGGACACGAAAGACCAATTACATCATCTTACTTCACTGATACTCAAATCTTGAAATAAAATAAAGTATTTGGTCTTTAGTTTCAGACAGACTTTTATAAAAATGAACTCAAATTAATATGTTCGTGACACATCTTGATAATAAATTTAAAATAGCTAAGAGGTTCTATAGGATAATATTGATATACCCTTGGATTACGCTTAAGTATGAATGATGTATGACATTTGCGCTTTTTCGCTTGGGTCTCCTACAATAATTATAATAGCTTCATCGTATTTAATATTTTAATCCCGCAGAAATTGAGGCAAAACCTATCCTTTCACTCTCGATTTCTATACGTTTTCTCTTTTGTTGCCACTGATTGATGGGTGGAAACTTTCATAGGACTATAAATTCTATATTAGCTTTGCACAATAATGAATTGTTCACCAGACCCACACCCTCTAAATTAGCTGTAGATCTACGCTGTGTCTTACAATAGATTCGCTTCGTCATCTGTTTTGTCTCTGCAAAAGACACGGTATAAAAAATACGAAACAAACAGAAATATGTAATGAATTAGAATGAGAAATAGTGATGACGCTTTCTTCTGACAATATAACTTGATGTCGAAGTGGATTATATTGACTTTAGCCGAATGTAAAAATGTCGAAAACTGAGATAGCAGGTGCTGCACATTTTCCTGTTCTGAAAATTGAGAAACCAAAGAACTTCATTCGAATCAAAAATTGATTATCAAAAAAGAAGAATAAAAACCAAGTAAAAAATTCTTTGAAATACTAGTTTATCGATCTTCAATAGTGTTTTATCGTTGGTGGATATGAGTGTGAGTGTGGGTGTGGGTGCGTAAGGGAACAACTATAACCACACTCACACATCCACATTCTGATAGATCAATGATATGTTTTACAACAATATAAGCCAATATTAATCATGAAATAATGACATCTTTATCCAACATCTTCCAAAACATGCTTTCTTTGAGAGTTTTCTCTTTATTGTTGTCGAGCTTTTTTCGACATTTTTAACTGTCGACATTTTTACTTTCGACATTTTACCTTCGACATACTTACTTTCGGCTTAATTCAGGATTACCATCGAAATGACTTGATAAAATATGCAGGATGGCCCATAAGTAAGGAAACAGAGAAAAAATTGAATATCTCCATTAGGGCTCGAGCGAATGAGCTGATATTTTTACCAATGATAGAAGCATGTTCAAGTTTTATATAGATAAAGACATGCTCAAAGAGACCCTTTGTTAAGTAAATTGTTTTTTCTCTTATCTGTGAAGAAGTAAAATTTTTTGTTGAGATCATTGGTGATACTTAACAAAGGATCTCTCTCAGCTTGTCTTTATGGATACGAAGCTTGGACATGCCTTTATTAGAGTAACAAAATCAGCCCATTTGCTCGAGTCGTAATAGAGACATTCAATTTTTTCTCCGTTTCCTTACTTATGGGCCACCCTATAAATAAATATTTTTCATAAGATATGTTAAATTCAAATTGTTTTGTAATTTATTTC